TTCTATTATTATGCCAACGTAATGAATTTCCAATTGCTTTTGTTATAAGTTATGATGGAATAACAGCAAAAAATTATAAAAAATATTTGCAAATTCGTAATAGAATCGTTGTCTCGTTTAATAAATTTATCTTTTAAGGTTGATACTGATCCGAGTATTTTAAATACAACATAACATATATGTAAAACGAGCAGCTTATATGTTAGCATTATTGACGTATTTCAGTTTTCTCCGTTTTCGAAAATTGCGTTGATTATATTAACTGTTTATTTCATAAGTTTTTTGTTATAGTATGAGAATAAATCCATTCTGTAAATGTTCTTTCGAAAAAAAATAACTTGAGAGATATTATTAAAAAAAGAATGTAAGAAGTATACTGATTTGTCATATTATAATGTTAAATAGTATACAATCTAAGCTTATATATATATATATACTGTATATGTTAAATTTTGCAAAAGAATTATCATACTGAAGATATTAGAAATTACTTATCTCGATTCTTCCTTCTTGTATTGCGACAAAGAAATGTCAAAAGAAATTCCATCTTGAAGCAGTACAAACCAGATGATATTCTTGTCAAATATCTGAAATTAAATGATGAATGATGTAAATATATATCAAAATTAACGAATTTAATTGCTTGTGTGAAAAAATTAATTATTTTCAGAAATAAATAAATGTGTGGTAGATAAAATGCAAATGCTAATTCGTTATTCTATTCATTCCAGAGAACAAACTGATTTGAGGAAATCGCTCAATATTATTTCTGAAAGATTTTCTTATATCATAATTCTGAATGTTATGTTATTAATGTTGTCTGATTTAAATGTTACAATTCTATAAGTGATAATATTCGTTTTCCTGTTCATTTGACTTTTAATACCGTCAAGTTTTCTGTTTAAAACATGGAAATTTCGCTTATGTAACACAACATAATTTTGGTTTCTGTATCGATTAGGCTACAACATTTATTAAGAAATAACTAACGAGTTAAATTCTTTATGGAAAAAATAAAGTATTGATTGATAAAAATTATTAATTGAAAAACAAACTATTGATATTCAAACACGAAACACCACTTACGGGTACCGGAATGTAACTTCTACGTACGTAAAACTCTATTTTTCATACGATATGTTAAAAGAAATAACTGGATCTCTGAATGTATTTCTGCTAATGAAAATTCTCAATTTAAAATCGTTTGAATTTACTTAAGCAAATTTTGCATTTTCTATCGTCCGTTGATTTTCGATTGCAACCCTCGCCTGTCANGGGAGAGAAAAACAAACTCTTACAAATACAAAACTATCAATAAAAGTACTATTTTATGCATTAATATTAGTTAATTTTAGTTAAACAAAGATGTCTTTTTACAAAGTATCATCATCTTATGAGCTTTTTTGTTGATTATGATCAGAAATATCAGCAATGTCTTCATTTTTATCATAAAAATTTTTATGCATGACAAAGTAAAAATATTTATTAATTGAAAATTTGTTCTAGCAGGTATTGTTTGTTCAATTGAGGATTAAGTGATTTTTTTTCCAGAATTTGTTTGAATACTGGCCTGTGTTCAGTAACGCAGAATTGTTGCTATATCTAGTTATGCTGCAATGTTGAACTTGTTTCTAACTACTGCTTGACTCCTCCCACCTCTAGAATTCTAGCTAGTTCAGTCAGCTTCTTTTATCTATGCTAACTTCTACTAGTGATGTCATTGTTTGTGTCTTGCCGTACGATTTGCAAGATGGCTGCTTATGTTGGACTAAACGTATTTACAAAGTTATTACAAAGTTACAAAGAATTAGTTATTACAAAGAATTACAAAGTTATTCTCACATTCTAAATCACTAGCTCATTCTAAAATGACTTTGAAATGTAATATTATCATAAGTCAGTATAACAGATTCCAAATACATTTTAATGGAGGATAGTGATCCATTTCATTGATTACAATTAATAATTGCTTTATTTATTTCATCATAATCTGACACAGCTTCCATTTGAATAATTTACTTCATTCTTTTTGACCAGTTCATTTGCAACAATTGTTGCGATCATAATTTTAACTTTGACCACCATTTTGCCTAGTTGTCTAAGAATAATCATTCAATGATATTCAGAACATTCTTAGCTTCACCCACTAAGCACTCAGAATTCTAACTTAGATGTTCTGCATTACTGAACACGACCCTGAACTGTTTGAGTATCAAGATACAGCTATATTTCATTTGTCATTTTTATGAATGATTATTTACCTATGGTTAAAAAAAATTAATAAAACTTACCTAAAAATGTTTAAATAAACTTTACTAAATACAAAGATTAATCTGTAAAATTAAATTAAATTAAGATTAATCTATAAAAACAAAACACAGTGACAGTCATAAAAGCTAAAGTCTGAAAGCTAAGACAATGACATCNAATCCTTCAACGTCCCGATTTTCGATTTAAATCAACATCTGCTAATACATTTTGCAACAATAAAATTCTAAAATTAATCATTTGACGGATTATTGCTTCCAATTTGTCCAATGACTTGATTTTTCATTTTGTCTTTCGTTTGCTGAAATTCAATTTTAATGACAGACCAAGAAAAGAAGTAGTAATACTTAACTTCTCGAGATATTCCTATTCAAAGTAGCGTCGAAGTACAATGTAGATAAGTCGGAATTTCTGGAGAGATTCTATTATTGCACGCCAGTCCAATAATGGAAAAAAAGAACAATTGGAAATAATTGTTAGGTAAATATGACGTCTCGATAAACGTAGCACGCATTACGTCAAAGTATTAAATCACTACTACAAATATTCAATTTTATGTACAATTTTCCAGTTCACCATAAAGATTTATTCTGAAATAAAAATATGAATTTAAAACAATTAAATAGATGTCAAATAACTGGCACCTCATAGCAGCACGTTATCTTATATTGAAAAAGTCATGTTATCCCCCATCTCTTTTATATTAGAAAACAATTTTTATATCCAAATTTAATTCTTAGAGCTTTTATCAACATTTTAAGGCCCTGTACACACTAGGCGTTTTTCAACGCGCGTTAAACGCTCGTAAAACGCCGAGCTAACGCGCGTTAGCTCGGCGTTTGNGGAAATAATTGTTAGATAAATATGACGTCTCGATAAACGTAGCACGCATTACGTCAAAGTATTAAATCACTACTACAAATATTCAATTTTATGTACAATTTTCCAGTTTACCATAAAGATTTATTCTGAAATAAAAATATGAATTTAAAACAATTAAATCGATGTCAAATAACTGGTACCTCATAGCAGCACGTTATCTTATATTGTCACGTTATCCCCATCTCTTTTATATTAGAAAACAATTTTTATATCCAAATTTAATTCTTAGAGCTTTTATCAACATTTTAAATTTATTAACCTTATTTTTAATTTCTCTATTTTAACGAAAACAACTTATTCTTGCCAGAGGCGTAGCTACCGTGGAGCAGTTGGAGCAAACTTCTCCAGGCGCACAAATTGTGAGGGCGTCTAGTTATAAATGGCAAAATAAAAACTTGTAAAANATTAATAAAACTTACCTAAAAATGTTTAAATAAACTTTACTAAATACAAAGATTAATCTGTAAAATTAAATTAAATTAAGATTAATCTATAAAAACAAAACACAGTGACAGTCATAAAAGCTAAAGTCTGAAAGCTAAGACAATGACATCTGATTTCTATGAAAGTCAAGGAAGAAGAAAAATTGCACTATCAGTTTTCATTAAACCTGATGAAAGGCACAAAACCAATTGAAAATTTCAATATTCTAAAATCCATGGACAAATTTACAATAACATGCATGTTTACTTGAATAAAAAAAATCAAATAATGAAGTTTGCTTAAAAGTTGTAAAAATTTGTATTGAGAATTTCCCAAATCCTCAAACCATGTTAGAGCGAAACCATGTTATAGAAGTGCAATGTTGTACAAGGGATACCTGTACTATATTTTACATTAAAACCTGTATTGCTAAATTAATTGTTATTTTTTCTTAAGATATTAAGATAAATTTTACGAGACCAGCAAAGAAAAGTATGTTAGTAAAAACTTGCAATTGGTAAAAATTGCATTTGAATTTTTATATTTAATCTAACCTGAAGACACTTTGAACAGAAAAACTGAAAGTACTCATTAATTTTTTTACTTATTTAAATAATTACTGTTTTTATGAACTGTT